TGTTTAGGAAGACCACACCCAACCTGACCAGTTTGTTCTAATTTTCATGCAAACTGGTATTAAATGTCCCTCTTCACTTTTCATTCTTCATTTCATCCCTGAGGAATGTTCTGCATCCCTAGAGGAACGTTCAGTATTATCATCAGTTAGTTTTAATTAACTTCACGTACTTGAATGATAGTATGTGAGATGCTAGAAAAAATAATTTAAATAGATATGGCCTCTGCCTTCTAGCCATTAACATATTAAACCATGACAGATGAGTTTTTATTTTTAATTGCCATAAAGTATAATATTTGTCATGTAAACCTTTATTCAATTGTGTTCCTCCATGAAGATGAAGTTTGCTTAATAATGTACGCTGAAATGTGATAAACAGCTAAGTATATACTTTCTGGGCATTTATATGTAATAGTTCCATTTTGGACCCCCAGGGGAGTGAAAACGACTTTGGAAGCTAACAATTGGCATCTTATAGCTCACCTGAAATAATCTCAACAGTCATAAACAATTCTCTAGAATCTAAAGAATAATCAGATAAAGTCACTCTATGCTTGAGGGGTGGAAAAAGAAAAGGTAAGTTTATTCTATGACCAGCTCTAAAGGAGGACAGAGACTAATATGTCTAGCAATTACAGAAATTAGCATGATTAACCACATGTCTTTATAATAGCAGGTCTAGTTCTGCTTTAATACTTGTGCTTTGTAGGTAAAAGTTATCAGCATACACATTACTGAATTGTCCCCAGTCCCAAAAGAATCTAATTCAGAACCCTCTTCAGAATATTTAAAGTGTCTGTTGCTCAGTCAAGTCTGAATCTTTGCAATCCCCCGAACTGTAGCCCAACAAGCTCCTCTGAGCATGGAATTCTCCAGGGAAGAATACTGGAGTGGGTTGCCATTTCCTTCTCAAGGTTATCTTCCTAACTCAGGGATCAAACCTAGATCTGTTGCATTGCAGGCAGATTCTTTACCATCTGAGCCACCAGGGAAATCCTCAGAATATTTAGAACAAACCTAAATTCTCTAACAAATCTCTCCTAACTTTTTCTTATATACACCCAAAGATTAAAATCATTTTCTGTATGATTTTTCTAGACTGTTGGTAGGTTTCTGGTGATCTCTGGCTGGTGATCTTTAACATTCTTTATGACAATTTTTATTATTTTTCTTTTACTATGTGTTGAAAATTGCAGCTAGCCTAATAATCACAAATATTTTTAAACAGTCTTATTTGGCTTTGTATAAAGGTGAAAATAAAGTTTAAATTGAAATACTGATGATCAGGGTATTCTTGATATACTGAATACATAACATTTCATATTATGAATGATATATTAATTAAGTAAGAAGACATAGAAAAATGAAGGAACTATAGAATGAATGCTAATGTTTCCCCAAAGTTCCATACAGTCTGCAAAAATAAGACTGGGAGCTGACTGTGGCTCAGATCATGAACTCTTTATTGCAAAATTCAGACTTAAATAGAAGAAAGTAGGGAAAGCCACTAGATGATTCAGGTGTGACCTAAATAAAAGCACTTATGATTATACCATGTAAGTGACAAATGGATTCAAGGGATGAGATCTGATAGACAGAGTGCCTGAAGAACTATGGATGGAGGTTCATGACATTGTACAGGAGGCGGTGATCAAGACCATCCCCAAGAAAAAGAAACACAAAAAGGCAAAATGGTTGTGTGACGAGGCCTTATAAACAGCTGAGAAAAGAAGCTAAAAGCAAAGGAGAAAAATAAAAATATACCCATTTGAATGCAGAGTTCCAAAGAATAGCAAGGAGAGATAAGAAAGTCTTCTTCAGCAATCAATGTAAAGAAATAGAGGGAAAAGACAGAATGGGAAAGACTAGGTAGAGATCTCTTCAAGAAAATTAAAACACCAAGGGAGCATTCCATTTAAAGACGGGAACAATAAAGGACAGAAATGGTAGGGACCTTACAGAAGCAGAAGATATTAAGAGGGGGCAAGAATACACAGAAGAACTATACAAAAAAGATCTTCCGCCAACGGAGACCAAAAGAAAGCAGGAGTCGCAATACTCATATCAGATAAAATAGACTTTCAAATAAAGGAGGTGAAAAGAGACAAAGAAGGACACTACATAATGATCAAAGGATCAATCCAAGAAGAAGATATAACAATTATAAATATATATGCACCCAACATAGGAGCACCACAATNAACTATAAAGAAAGCTGAGTGCTGAAGAATTGATGCTTTTGAACTATGGTGTTGGAGAAGACTCTTGAAAGTCCCTTGGACTGCAAGGAGATCCAACCAGTCCATCCTAAAGGAAATCAGTCCTGAATATTCATTAGAAGGATGGATACTGAAGCTGAAACTCCAATACTTTGGCCACCTGTTGGGAAGAACTGACTCATTTGAAAAGACCTTGATTCTGGGAAAGATTGAAGCTGGGATGAGAAGTGGACAACAGAGGATGGGATGGTTGGATGGCATCACCTACTCGATGGACATGAATTTGAGTAAGCCCCGGGAGTTGGTGATGGACAGGGAAGTCTGGTGTGCTACAGTCCATGAAGTCACAAAGAGTTGGACACGACTGAGCAACTGAACTGAAATGAACTGAAAGTTTACATGTGGAAACCTAATCCCCATTGTGATGTTATTAGAAGGTAAGGACTTTGGATGCTCATGACTGGGATTAGCATCCTTACAAAAGAAATCCCAGAGATTCTTCTGCCATGTGCCTGATAGAAGATGGTCGACTACGAGACAAGGTCAGGATCCTCACCAGACACTGGATGTGCCTGTTCCTTGATCTTCAATTTTTGGTCCTCAGAATTATGGGAAATAAATTTCTATTTCTTATAAAACACCCAAACAATAGTATTTTTTTTTTTTTTACAGCAGCCTGAACTAACTAGAAAAAAAGACAATTGATATTTATCTAAGGCTTGATGAATGCCATAAACTTCAGTTGTCTAGTTTGGTCCTCACAGAAATTCTCTAATTTATAATCAAAGCTCAAGCACTTTCAGTAATTGTCACAAGGTCTCACTGAAAATAAATGTTGAAATTTGGAAATAATCTCAATTTGGGCTCTAAAACATGCTTTTCTTCAAATCCACTTCAATGAGAACAGGAGGAAAATTTATGAAACTAATATATTTGAAAGTAGTCTTAAATTTTTAATAAGTTAATAGCTATTAAAACAAGAATAAATAAAATAATATGAGCAATAATTAAAAATAATTATCTGATTGATATTTTCTGTTACAAATTTAAAAACATCTCATCCTCCTGATACTTCTCTGAACTTTTCTCATGATACTCTCTACTTTATTCTCTACTTGGGTCTTGCTGATATCCTTGCTATTTCTAGAAACATAAAAACAACACACACGTCCCTATATCAGGACATTTGTACTTGCCCTTCTCTGTTAATTTTGCGTATATGTATTTATTTAAACAGTTAAACATACTAATTCAGTTAAAATATTTTTATTTAAATATATTTATGTATATAGTATACATAAATTTTATATATAATATAATGTATTCATATAAATATTTAGAATAGTATATTTAAATGACATGTTAATACTATATAATATTATGATATAGTATATAATGACATAATTTGATGTGATATTATATGTGACAAATTATATATTTGTATATAAATGCAATATATATATGTTACATACTAATACAAACACACATTTGCTATCCTTGACTTCCATTCTAATTGCACTCATCACTTTCCTCATTTTTTTTTCCTCACACTTAATACATATCATTCTATATGTTGTATTTATTTTGCCTTTCTGTCACTTCTACCTAGAACAGATGCTATAGGGAACTGGAATTTGTTGCTGTTTGTGATTGTGGTGATCTTGACACTTAGAGACAATCTCAATATGTTTTGTTAAAGTTATACTTTTTTGATCACCTCTGTAATCCCAGTGCCCAAAGGAATACCTGTTTCATAGTAGGTACTTGATATATTCTTATTAAGTAAATAAACGAAAACAAAATATGAGACATATTAGAAGACTAGTACCTAGACAACTTTTAAGATTTAACGTAATTTCATACCACACACACACGCGAATCTTAAACTCAAACTATAATTTATCACAGATAACAAACTCCATTAAAAAAAGCTCTAATATTGGAAAAAATAAAGTAATAGGATTCAGAAACATAATTATTTGTGCTATACTTTTCAACTTTGTTATATATTTCAATTCATCCCTTTTCATTTTAATAAATATTTATAGATCACCTGCTATATCCCAAGGATACTGCTAACTACCAAAGTGTCATGGTCGTAAGTTGACCATTTGCTAGTTGTGTGAACTTGGCCAAGTGATTCAATCACTATAATCTTCAGTGATCTTATTCATAAACTGAGTAAAGAGAGTGGTAAGTGTTCATCAGGCTATTATGCTGATGCCCTAACATAAGATAATACGAGTTAAGGTAAGGGCAGCAAAGCATTTCAGTACTGCCCAGGCTCACCAGAGTCATCCAATTTATGTTCTTATCACTGTGAACAATAATTATGTTGATAAAGAAAACATAATAGATACATCCCTGTGTTCATAAAGACTTAGTATATTTTTAAAAATAGAAAAAAATGTTAATTTTAAAAGAACAGATGTGAAGCCATATTTGCATATAATAATGTTATATTTGGAAAGTTCATCAAGGCTTTCTCAGATTTCCACCTAACACTGACTGTCAAAATTCCTGATCTTCCTGGCCAACAATGGGAAGATAACTAGGAATGTTAACCTTTTGATATCTCCTTTCTTTTTCTACTTTGTCAAGAATGGGCAAGGACTCCTTTCCTTTGAGTGTGGTTAATACTATGGAGGTTGATTTTACTTCATTTGGCTGTAGATTTTGCTGCACACTTGCTGTAACTTCCAGGTAATTTTAAAATAATTTTAAATGTAGATGCGGAGATTTGCCCCCACGATAGAGAGTTATGGAATAGCATTTACTTACAGTGTATTTCTAGCACCTGCATGGCCACCTGAGGGGTGGCATTGAGAGATTCATGGTCTACTCTGCAGATGACTGCCACGCCATCATCACTTCTGTCCACTCGGAAATCCAGTGTGCTGCTGACAGTGAACGTCTTGCGATTTGCATCCTCTTCCTTTAAATATTTTACATCTGAAAATAAAATATAAAATTTAAAATTCTGTGAAATTCTCTTTGAAATAACAGGTCTCATTTATTCAAGACACCTACTGGAAGTGCTTTCTCCTTATCTTTATCCAATCATAAAAAGAAAATATTTGTTAGTTTGACATTTAACCCATTTTGAGTAAACAGAAATAAAACTACTTCAGATATATATTTTAAAAGTTAAACACAGAAATAAAAGGGCAAATCATAGCCCCCTTTTTAATACTACATTAGAAAAATCAGGCCGTTTTACAATATTAGTCTCTTTTCTTTAGATTTAGATAATACTAAAAGATTATCTTGATTTTCTGAACCACAAGCACAATGAGNGGATTTTGTTCAGAAGTATCTAAGTTGGGATTTTTACCACAAAAAGCTCTATGAAATTTCTGCAGTTTTTGAGAAGAAGAAGAATTTCTAACATTTGGAAAGGAAAGAAGGAGCATAGTACCTCAACTCTTTTTTAACTGTAAATTAATCATATATGGTATAGGGATTTCCATCAACATGTGTCTTATGAAATATCTCATTTTTGTTAACCAAAATCATTTCTGAGATTTTTGCATTTGAAAATTAGATTCAACTTCAGTTAAAAAATATTAGAGTGAAAGATGAAACGATCTTCTTTTAGTCAAAATATGTCAAGATAATACAGATGTATTTATAGTTCTTTGGTATATTAAAAAAATGAGGCTCTCTTACTTTTCAGTGTCTCATAAATTTATACAAAATGTTGCCTCATTTTTATATTTTGTATCCTTGCCTATAAATCTACGCCCATGTTTTTTTGTTGAAAGCTCCAAGCAGTAGAAATTTAAGAAAATTTAGATCTCTTGACAAAATACTTGCATAATTATGTTACACGATATGTGAGAAATTATTCCAAAATATTGCTTATATTCTTTAATTTTAATAACAGCTGCATTTTAAGAACCCACACATCTGCTTCCTTCAGCTATATTCTTCACAAAAATATCATTTTATGTAATATTAATTGGACACATAAAATCTGATAGCAGTTGTATATAACATAAAATATTAATGAGCATCATTCAAACAGAATAAATAAAAGTATAATTTGTTGCTTTTAATATTAGTTCATGTGACATCTTATAGGGTTACTAGAAGGCATAAGATAAACAGGAAAAAGAACTGAGAAGAGCCAGTTGTAATATCTTTGCCCATATTTCTGCTGACATCCTCCTCACCAAACAGGAAATAGCACTTAAAATTTATTTTCATTTTGCTTTCTAGCTTTATAAAGTAACTGATGTATTACATAGTTACAGAATTAATAGAAATTTCTTTATATGGCACAGTTAATCTGATGATTCCATATATATTCTTGTTTCATGTTCTGTATTGTTTTAGAGAGTTTCTATTTTTTTCTTCTTTGGCAAGTAAGTCACAGCATTACTTCATCGCTTTGTGATCTAAAACAGTGTTTCTCAAAAATGGAATGTGCATCTGAATCATATTTGAATCTTGTCAAAATGCAAATTCTGATTCAATAGTGGTGAGGTAGAGCCTGAGAGTCTGTTGCTGGCCTACAGAATTATTTTCAAGAGCAAGGGTATAATGTATACATCATCACTGTAGGGGATAAGACCAAAGGTGAGTGAATACTGGAACTAACTTTACTCACTTCTCTCCCTCTCTCTCTTTTTATTGCCATTCTTTGTAAGCTTAACATTCCTTTACTATTTCAACATATATTTCTCATTTATTTACATTTTTGAAAATAGCCATGTCATGTATTATATAATGTGTTGGTTCAATGGCCAGTAAAACAAAGGGCAAACATTAAACACAGGAATTTGTAGGATTACTTTCCATTATAATCCTTGAAGTCACCCCTTTATCTTTTTCCAAAGGAGATTATGGACATGTGAGCACTTGCTCTCAAGTAATCAGAAATGTGATTGCTTTTGGTTGGTGGTGGTTGTGTAACTGAGGAGGATCCCATGGGCCAGGGAGGTGAGGTAGCAGGTCTTCCTTTGTAGCCTCTGCTTTATCTCCTTTCTGAAGTACCCAGATAACAGTATTTGATGCAAATTTTCTGAATTCTTTTGCAGACGTAAACTCCTACTCACCTCAATCAAATGGAAGACATTAACTATTTGATGACCCAGAGCACATCAGTCAGTTCAGTTCAGTGGCTCAGTCATGTCTGACTCTTTGCAACCATGGACTGCAGCACACCAGGCTTCCCTTGTCCATCACCAACTCCCAGAGCTTGCTCAAACTCCTGTCCATCAAGTCAGTGATGCCATCCAATCGTCTCATCCTCTGTTATCCCCTTCTCCTCCTGCCTTCAAACTTTCCTAGAATTAGGGTCTTTTCTAATGAGTCAGCCCTTCACATCAGATGGCCAAAGTATTGGAGCTTCAGCTTCAGCATCAGTCCTTCCAATGAATGTTCAGGATTGATTTCCTTTAGAGATTGACTGGTTAGATCTCCTTGCAGTTCAAGGGACTCTCAAGAGTCTTCTCCAACATCACAGTTCAAGAGTACATAAGGACTGATATTTGCTGAATCCTGGGGGAGCTTGAGGCTTTTTAGAACAAAGCCATCCCATCTCCTTGCATGACCATGCAATAAAAATGTCTCAGCTCCAAACTCTGACATTTTAGTTTGTTTGACCTCACTGTGTGCCACTGTTGAGCATAGGAACTTAGTTGCAAATTGTCTCATTATACTACTGTGTTTATACTGCATGCTTTAGAAATCTTCTATAAGGAACTGTTTTTAAATATCTGCCTGAAAATTCCTCAAGTATGCTTCCCAATGAAAGTTATTTTCTTGAAACCTTCATGGTGAAGTCTAAAGTAAAGATTCTCTCTCAATATTTATAGTATGTATCTGTATAAGAGAGCTGGATCATAAAGAAGGCTGAGTGCCAAAGAATTGATGCTTTTGAATTGTGGTGCTGGAGAAGATTCTTAAGAGTCCTTTGGACTATAAGGGGATCAAACCTGTCAATCCTAAAGGAAATCAACCCTGAATATTTGAAACTTGAAACTAACACAACATTGTAAATCAGCTATATTTAAATACTAGTTTAAAAATTAAATCAATAAAAAACCTGAGTCGAGTTATCTAGGGAATGAAACAAAAGGTTATCTGGACATTTTTACATTTAAATCTCTTAAAAAAGTCAGATCTCAGGAGATAACTCTAGATCCATTTTTTTCCCCAGATTTATAATATTAGGTTGCATGCATGCTAAGTCACTTCAGTTGTGTCTGACTCTCTGTGACCCTACGGACCTTGACCTGCCGGGCTCCTCTGTCCCTGGGATTCTCCAGCAAAGAATATTGGAGTGGGTTGCTATGCTCTCCTCCAGGAGATCTTCCTGACCCAGAGATTGAACCCATGTTTCCTGCATGGACAGGTGGGTTCTTTACCACTAGCACAACCTGGGAAGCCCTAATATTAGGTTACCTGCCTCTGCATCCGGAGCTTCGGGCCACCTTTGTACTAGACTTTTAGAAGGAGTATCCTTCTAAGGTGAAGCTTCTTCAGATGTTACTTTGCCTCCACAATGATTCCAATCACCCTGAGTGTTGTAATCTGAACTTTTGTGATGTATTTCCTTTCTGCTCGTGACTTTGATTCCCTTTAAACAGATCAAGAACAAATATAATCCCATTTTTATAAAAGGAAATCTTGTCCTGAATCCTAGGTTAGCCCTTTCTTTCAGACCTGCACCTGAAAGAGGACCAGTTTCCTTTTGAAAGATTGCAAAGCCAATAAGCAACACTTGGAACAAGGTTGGGATTTAAATGTAGTTCTGCCTTGTAGCCAATACTAGAAGGATCATACCTTCTCATAACTGGGATAAAGCTCTTGGAATTTTGTAATATATTTTGTGACTTCTCCACAACTATTTGGGCTTTGAATTTTGGGGTCATGAGCAAAGTTGCAAGATCTTAGTGTATACCCCAAATTTCTATGCTTATGTAGAATATGAACTCTGTTATTATTTTCAGAGTCTGTGTTTGTAGGTGTTTTTCCAAGAATGAAATGGCAGTTTCAACAAGAGATGTCAATAAATTTATTCTGAATCCATACATTGTTATTAATGATGCTTTAAATGACACCATTGTTAGTAAGCTGAAAGGTGGTCTTCTTGCCATACAGGAGAGACAATGTGGCATTAAAAAATAAGATAACTTGTTTTTATTGTCAAAAACTTGGAGTGACCATATTGGACAAATGGATATGTTATATAATTCTTGTTTAAATGAAGCTGTATAGATCAAAATTTATAAAAGTGAACACATCATTGTTAGAAGGCAATCAACTCTCTTCATTAAAAAAAATGACATAATGTAACTATATCTAGTTAACTCAGTCAGTAACATAGATGCATATTTTAGAACTAATTTGTCTTGAAGGGATTGTTGGTAATTTTTCTTTTCTTATGGCTTAAGTGTACAACAGAATTTTTTCTTTTTTTTTACAAACCACCTTTTTTTTTTTTAACTATTCAAGTTAAGCATTTGATTTTATATCTACTTCAAACTTTCTTCAGACCAAAAATACTGAGGCCATGTCTTATATGGTAAAACTTTAAAGTCTGGCAACCACTTTCATTTGTTCACTGGAGAAGACCTCAAAACAAATTCTTGAAGCAAATTTCAGTAATGCCTATGAGTATTCCTTCATACTGGAGAAGGCAATGGCAACCTACTACAGTATTCTTGCCTGGAGAATCCTATGTGCAGAGGAACATGGCAGGCTACAGTCTGTGGGGTCGCAAGAGTCGGACACAGCTTAGCAACTAAACTGCTACTAATAAAATTCACATCAGAGGAGGGAATGGCAACCCACTCCAGTATTCTTGCCTGGAGAATTCCGTGGACAGAGGAGCCTGGCAGGCTGCAATCCATGGGGTCACAGAGAGTCAGACATGACTGAGTGACTATCACACACACACACACACACACACACACTCCTTCATTCAACCCCAATTAGAATGC